TAAAGAAGAAGTAATAGAAAGGACCAACATAATAATGATAAATGAGACACAACAACAATGCATGAGTCAACCTCCACATATTATGATGCCTGAGGGTTTGTGTCAACACTGTGAACCATTGTGTGATTTACCCTGGACACGTGTAGTGGCGCCAGTGTCCCTGTGTGAAGAAGCTTCCTGGTGTATAATGATCATGAAGTGCACAAATGTCCCCCTATGCATTTTATTTTTAAAGTCTTATCACTCATATTGATATTATTCCTCTTATGAATCATCTATGTATATTATCTATATTATTTGTGTTTATATTATATTTATATATGTATCATTTATTGCCAAGTGAAACTTCATCTAGCTGGGAAAGGAACTCTGCGACAACTGTTCTTTAATTATAATACCTCGCTAAGTATGTATTAAGGTTGACAACTAACACTTCATTGAGCCAGTAGACCAATATAACTTATGTCTTCTTTGTAAGTATTTTATTTTTAACCTCTCGGTCGCTTTAAACCATATGATGTTATTTTAGTCTCCTGTTTACGAGTCTTTCACCACTTGTTATCGTATTCCAATCAGTCACTGTATCACCTGTGTGTGGATATCTACTCTCTCTCTCTCTCTCTCTCTCTCTCTCTCTCTCTCTCTCTCTCGTTTCCTTCCCACTGATTACCATCTTTATTATTCCTCATCTTCTTCCTCATCATCAGTCCATCTCTGGCGGTCGACTCATTACTTCACACATAATATACACGTGTTTTCCTCTGCTATACATCACCTCTGCTTATTTCCTTTCTTAGTTCACATTATTTTCCGACTTTCATTCTTTCTTTTTTCTCTCCCATCGCCTCTCCCTTTCCTCCCTCCCACCTTCCCCTATCTCCCACCCCTTTCCCTCCTTCCCTCCCTCCATCTCTCCTCCCTAAGCCAGCAGGAAGTCACCACACACACACACACACACACACACACACACACACACACATTTTCCGTCAGCTGTCATTTCTCCATTGCTCTTGGGGGCGACCGCGGCAGACAAAAATCATGTCCCTGCTAATGAGACGTGAATATTTTAACTCCGCTTTGGGTCTTTGCCGGCTCGGGAATATCTGTCTTTCTTTTTTTTGGTCCATAATAGCGGCCGGGAAGATTTTTTGACTAAGGAACTTGATGCTTTGATTTGTGTATTTGTTTGTTTATACAGGTTCTGGAGCTCATTATGAAAGCTATTTGATATGGGGGGAGGGGGTGTATGGAGGTAAGAATGAGAGGGGGTGATGGTATGGGTATGGTATGAGGGGGGTGGTGATTGTATGGGGGTAAGTATGAGGAGGAGGATGAGGGGTAGGGTAGGATTGTTTATGAAAGAGGTTATATGGAGTCCTATTGTCTTATGGAGATGTTTATATTTTTCTTAATTGTCTTTTGGTTAGGAAGTCGAGGCATTATAAATTCATGATCTTGTATCCTCTTATGACAGTGGCCTTCCGCGTCTCTTTATGTTTGACTCTCGGCCCAAATCCTTATAATTTATATATGAACAAAGTGACTTGAAGGGTATAGGTTGAGGGTATGGGATGGGGGGCATGGGTTGGGGGGGTATGGGATGAGGGGTATGGAATGAGGGGTATGGAATGAGGGGTATGGGATGGGGGCATGGGATGAAGGGTATGGGATGGGGGTATGGGATGAAGGGTATGGGATGGGGGTATGGAATGGGGGGATGGGGAGCATGAGATGGGGGTGGGGGTGGTAGAGGAGATATGGGATAGGGGATAGGGGATACAGATGATGCTCATAACTCCCTAAAAGCTCCCAGGCAGTGACACCATCATCCATCAGGCCAGTAAATTGTATGAGTTATGTTACTTACACACTCAGAAGACTGTGTGAGAGGCTGGTGTGTGGTGCCCAGGAAGGAGGAGGAGGCAGGTACCCATTACCCACCCTCTTATATTGTTGTCACCTCACATATTTTTGACGAGGAATCCATTTTTTCTCTCAATAAAATCCATCACCTATTAATTATCTCTCCTGTTGTTATGCATTACAGTTTATAGTGAATGGTTTTTAATTAATTACAATAGACTTAAATTTCTATGTATCGGTTCATATATTTTGTGATTAAAATTTTTGTTTATTATTTTTAAAGAATTCGTGTAGGGGGTTCAATTTTTCAACACTCGTTCAAAAACTTAAGATTGATATTTTGTTTAAGGTTCTGAAATTTTCGTGATACCAATTTAATAGTATTCCGTAAACGCCATTTTCTCTCTGATACACCCGTGCGGTAGAGTCGTGTGTGTGTTTCTCTTCAGCATTCTTAATTATCAGTTATACTCTCCTATACACCAAACACTGTCAATTTACATAAGGCGTTTGAAGGAGACTTGTTCCTTGAGTTTTATGATGTATTGTGTTAGTTGTTTGAGTTTAAAGTTGACGAATGAATAGAGAGGAATAAAGCTTTGCTGGCGTGAGTGTGTACAGGTACGGGGGGAGGGGTGGCGTGATCGTGGCAGAGTGAAGGTACAGTATATATTACAGGTACAGAACAGGTAAACAATACAAAGTCAGATAACAGGTAGGCAGTGGGGAGGAATAGAGAATATGTAGACAATAAACAAAGCTGATAATTAAAGGTAAATAATCAGACAGGTAGGTAAATAATGGTAAATAATTAAACCAAAGATCAGGTATTGTCCAGTTATCTATAAAAAAATAACTTCAAAATAAACATTAATATAAACCGATCGTTAAGGAGAGAGAGAGAGAGAGAGAGAGAGAGAGAGAGAGAGAGAGAGAGAGAGAGAGAGAGAGAGAGAGAGAGAGAGAGAGAGAGAGAGAGAGAGAGAGAGAGGTAACACTTCGCTAAAGAGAAGATATACAGTAGGTAACGTAGATGGGTAGAGAAAACGCAAAGAGCAAATGGAGAAAAATGAGAGAAATTACTAAATATGGAAAGAAAACGGTAGAATCCCATCTGACTTAGCAAGAAAAAATTGGCATCACAGAAGATGGGGGAAAAATGGTGGAACGTAAGGAAAATATTATTATGTTAGAATAGACAATTTTATCATCATGGGAAAGAACGTTACAATGTTGGAAAGCTGGCGAACGTTACAAGTATAGAGAACGGGAAGCAGGCGATCGCAGAAAATGGAAATGTTCGTAGTGTCACCAGAATACACACTCGCCCACTCGCTGTAGTAAACTCACCATCATTATTCATTTACAATCTTGAAATAATCTCCTTCCATCACTTAAACTCATAATGGGGAATCATAAAAAAACATTTAAAACAGTAGGAACTATAGTAGGATTCTTTTTTGGGTAATAAATCCGAATCGTGAGTACACTCCTCCTCCTGTTATCCTCAGGCCGCTCCTGTAATTCTCGCTCTTAACAAGTACAGTGGTTGTAATATTCAGATTTTTTTTTTTTTACCTACCTCGCGTGCGGGCGTATCTACCCTCGTGTTATGTGTCCACGTCACGCCCACTGATGTGTGGGTAGTGAGCGTGTAAACATTATTTCCTGTTTATGAGTGAGAATTGTTTCATTATGGTGTTAGACTGGTATATAATTAACGAATATATTAGAAGATTTGTATTAACTTATTATAAAGGTATGAAAGTTTGTGAGAGGTCCAAAAGTTATATTTACTTTTAAGATCCAATGTATGTGTGAGTTGTGTTGAGGCCTGGATAAGGAGTTGGTACCCAGGGCAGGTAAACATAGGTACAGGTGCCCCAGGTGGGTGGGTAGGGTTGGGGCAGGTGAACGCAGGTAGAAGCCCCCAGGTGTGTATTATAGAGGACTACTACCACTAACACCTGGTTAAAGAGGTACAGCCAAGGTTATAGTACCTCAGTTTTAGGTACTGGTATTTTAATTAAGTTTAAAAGTCAAGGTCAACAAAAAGTTCGCAGAAATCAGATTTTCCGCCGTATATTTAAAGCTGTGTGTGTGTGAGGGTGACACTTTTACTTGTACTGGTGTGTGTGTGTGTGTGTGTGTGTGTGTGTGTGTGTGTGTGTGTGTGTGTGTGTGTGTGTGTGTGTGTGTGTGTGTGTAACTACCGCACACGTATATTTCAGAAATTTGTGTATATGATTAAATATTTTTATCTGTCAGATTTTTGCGATGCCCAGGTGGAGGTCAATTTGGGGTAGACCTTTGTAGAGGTTGCCCACCCTCTCATACCCTCCCTCCTCCCCTCCCTCCCCTCCCTTCCCTATACCCCTCCCTCCCCCGACACCGCTCCTCCCCGACACCCTCCCTCCCCATACCCCTCCTCCCCCCATGCCCTCCCTCCCCCATGCCCCTCCCTCCCCCAGCCCTCCCTTCCTATACCCTCCCTCCCGGGCCACGGTACTATTCCACTATCACTCATTATCAACAACCACGGAAGGCCACTTAGAGGCTTCATCAGGACTCCCACTCTTACTTTCCTTTCGAAGGCTCTCACTATAAATACCAAGTGCATAATACACACTCGGCATGCATTCACCATTACGCATCTCCCTACTCGTGAATGCACAAGGGTAGACTGCATAGCCAAGTACCATATCACTATTCTATCAGTGCTGTAGGGCTCTCCGCTCCGCCTTTTGATGTCCGCCTCCGTACAGAATAAATGAGAGATTTAACCTCTAGTGTCGTGACGGGTAAGAGCTGGGAGTTGCGGCCGCTGCAGTGATGGCCAGCACCGAACCTCTGATGCCAGCCAAACATGAATCCTACTCTATATATCAATGTGAAATATGAATGGTACGTTAATGGCATGATTAGCACTTAGTGTTTGTAATGCATAACACTCCTACCTTAAACAGACAGACTACATCAAATTGTAACGTGGTTTATCTGTGATACTTTAGGTGAATCATTAGTTCCTGTATGTTATTAGCATCGTGTGTATAATTACAGCGTTGGTTTTTATTTTGTTGTTTATGATATATTTATATTGATTTTAACCTTTTGTGTTATTTATAAAGTATCGTGAAATGTTGATAGTATTTGTATGTCGTGTACTGTATGTTTAATATATGCATAGACCTTGAGAACGACCATAATTATCATCCTGGATATATAGATTGTAAATGGCGTGCTAAAGAGAGATTGAAATATGTTGTTATATCATTGTTCTGCTGTACCGTGCCCCCTCAGCCTTTGTTCTTTCTGTTCTTTATAGTTTTTTTTTGTGTAATTAGAACGTTTTAAGTATTTTTTTATAACAGTTGTCTCTCTGTGTGTGTTGTACGTGGAGTTTGTTGGTCTTGTGTTAAGTGCTTTTGTCTGTGTGGTTCCTGGGAATATTGTTTGTGTATTGTTCTTAACAGTTTTGTCTTTGTGTTGTTACAGAGAAGGCGAGGCGATATAACAACCTCATCGAACAGGGCATAACTGATCCAGGTGAGTGTTGTGGCTTGTTGACTTACTAACCTGACCTAATCTAACCTGACCTAACCTAGCCCAACCTAGTCTAGCCTAACCGACCAAGGTAAGTGTTGTGGCCTGTTCAATTACTAACCTGACCTGACCTAATCTGACCTGATCTAACCTAACCTAGTCTATCCTAACCAACCAAGGTAAGTGTTGTATCCTGTTCACTTCCTAGCCTGACCTGACCTAGTCTAGCCTAACCTAACCAACCGAAATAAGTGTTGCCTCTGCTAATTTCTTAACCTAACCTAATCTAACCTGGACTAGCTTATCCTAACCTGACCTAACTTTACCCAGGTGAGTGCTGCCCCTCCTGCTTACTTCCTAACCTAACCTAAACCTAACCTAACCTAACCTAACCTTGTTCCTTGTCACCCAGTACTGTTGCAGCCTTCCCCAGTTATTATAAGATTATGTTGTATGTATGTAGACGTGTAGTGAGGAAGAAGAGGAGATGAATAAAAATTAGAAGAAGAAGGAAGAGGAGATAAAGAAAAAAGATTTGAAGGAGAAGGGGGAGAAGAGAAGGAAGAGGAGGAGAAGGATGAAGAAGATAAGGAATAAGAGTTGAACGGGGACGAGAATAATTAACTATAAATATATAAAAACAAAAGTCATTTGCTTTAGATACTTTAGTAATTTGCTACATACTTTTTAAATATAATCTCTGATAATGTAAATAAGAATATAATATTAAAAATAGTATATAATATTTTAGTTGTTATAAGTGACGAATGGTAAGTACGTGTGTGTGCGTGCATGCGAGTGGGTGTAAACTCTACGGATCTTTGTTGCCGTATTTCATCACTTCTTATTACGACTGGCAGTAGTAAGAAAAGCTAAAAGTATAAAAATTAAAAGAATTAATAAAGGACAATAAAAAAAAAAGAAGAAAATGGACAAAAACGGAAAATAGACAGAGAGGCGATAGGACAAGTCATTTTAACTGTCTAAAATAAGGGAAATAATCTTTCTGTGATACCGTCTCTTTGCTGTTATATACATGGACAGGTGTAGACAGGTTTATTATTAATTATATATAGAGAAATAATTGCACGCGTTAATAACCATGAATCACCCGTTAACAACTATAAATCACTCGTTAATAACCATGAATCACCCGTTAACCATGAATCACTCGTTAACAACCATAAATCACTCGTTAATAACCATGATTCACTCGTTAATAACCATAAATCACCCGTTAACAACCATGATTCACTCGTTAATAACCATGACTCACCCGTTAACAACCATAAATCACCCGTTAACCATAAATCACTCGTTAATAACCATAAATCACTCGTTAACAACCATAAATCACCCGTTAACCATAAATCACTCGTTAATAATCATAAATCACCCGTTAACAACCATAAATCATCCTTTTTCACTCGTTAATAACCGCCGTCGCCGTTAACAACTCGTTCTCGTTAACAACCATAAATCACCCGTTAACAACCATGAATCACTCGTTAACAACCACACATGACGTATTGGATATTATAGAAACGTCATCATAACATAACATATAACATAACGTGTAACACAACATAACAGAACATATATAACATTATATAACATAACATATAACACAACATAACATATAACATTACATAACATAACATATAACATAACACAACATACCACATAACATAACACAACATACCACCACATAACATATAACACAACATAACACATTATACATAACACATAACATTAACGGGGGGGGATGGTGTCTCCTGAGTAAACAAAATACATAGTTTTAATTCTTTATTTAGACTTTTATTTTTTTTTACATGTATTACCTTAATTAATTGACTATTGTTATGTTATCTTACCTGTATAGCGATATAGGCATTAGATGTACTGTGTAATATATTAAACATAATTCGATATCGTGGTAGCAAAGATAACATTATCCTCCGTTTACGACACACACACACACACACACACACACACACCGGAAGGAGAGAGAGAGAGAGAGAGAGAGAGAGAGAGAGAGAGAGAGAGCATCCCTAGTCGCGCCTGGTACGTCACTCCTCTTCCTTCACCCTTCGTTCACTTGTGCCAATTTGCTGGTCATTACAACTCTTTGATAACCTCGAGTCTTCAGCTGATGTGTTGATGCCACTCAAATATTTAAACGATTGTAACTTATCTTTCTTGTGTGTGTTGGACCGTCTCTCTCTCTCTCTCTCTCTCTCTCTCTCTCTCTCTCTCTCTCTCTCTCTCTCTCTCTCTCGTCTTGACTTATGCCACCAATGTGTGTATTGTGTATTAAGCCTATGTATATTTATGTAATGTATATTGAACCTACATATGTACTGTATATGTATTAAGCCTCCGTATGTATTGCGTGGAGATCTGTCTAGTGATCAAATGACTACGGAACGAACCTAGAACGTATCGTACACTGGACTGATACATAGATAGATAGATAGACAGATAGATAGATCCTCGGAGGTAACATGTGGGTTTGTTTGTATTTGTAAACACACACACACACACACACACACACACACACACACACTTACGGATGGATAGATTTTAGAAAGAGAGAGTTTGTTGGGAGCGAGAGTGTAGTCACGCAGATGATGTGGTAATTGGTGGGCAGTCTGACCCACCGCCACCACTGAGAGAGAGAGAGAGAGAGAGAGAGAGAGAGAGAGAGAGAGAGAGAGAGAGAGAGAGAGAGAGAGAGTTCGATCTTTGCTTGGGGACTCTGCCATATAACTGTCTGTCTGTCTATAGTGAGTAATACAACTTTAGCTGGAAGAAAGATAAACCAAATTACTGTATAAATTTATAGTCTTATCATTTTTTCAATAATTGTTAAATATTTTCTTACCTGTATTAAAATAATTTCTTGATAAACGTTTCAGGTTATCCAATGTGTGTCGGGGGGGAAGGGTGGACACGTTGATAATGTTAATACTTGATGGTCGAGGCTGAGGGCTTATGGAGTAGTAGTATAATGAGGGATGATTAGCTTCATTATAAGAGGCATCAGGTGATCACGCCATACTCCTTATTACGCTCTGAGTGTTAGGTTAATGTCTCTCTCTCTCTCTCTCTCTCTCTCTCTCTCTCTCTCTCTCTCTCTCTCTCTCTCTCTCTCTCTCTCTCTCTCTCTCTCTCCGCTGTGGCTTGCTATATATAATGACTTATTCTGTGTAAAGGAAGATAAATAGACCTTAAGTAGCAAAAACTTGACAAATTGCTGGTTTTAAGATTCTGGGAAGTACTGGGTTAGGTTAGGTTAGGTTAGGTACCATCAGAATAAGATGTTTATCACGCATTAAATAGCATTCATAAAATATTTGAAGATTATGAATTATTATAAATGATTATTTTTTAATATTGAGAGTTATAAATCATGATGTAGGTGGGAGCCAGACCTTGCCAGCCAGGAGTTGTGAAATAATGCAACTAAATATTGTAAAAATATAGGATATTGAACCTTGTGAACCTGTTATCCGTGTTAGTCTGGTCTGGTTGTTACTTAATTATGTATTTAGGTGAGACGATAAGAAAATATTTGAAGCTTTGTGGAAACTTGCGACAAATTTTTGGGAAAAGTATTAATGAATGAGAAGATTTATTTTTAGGTATCTTAGCCTTAAAACTTCACCTTTACGCTTGCTTGTGTTGAGGAAGAGGCTAACCTAACCTAACCAACCCTAGCCAAATCTAACCTACGCAAGCCTAATCAAACCTACCCAAGCCTAGCCTAAATTACCGAAGCCTAGCCTAAATTACCCTACCCAAACCTAACAACCTACCCTACCCAAACCTAACAACCTACCCTATGCTACCCTACTCTACTCTAACCTAACCTAACCTAGCCAAACCATACCTACCCCACTCTACAAACCTACCCTACCCAAGCCTAGCCTAACCTAACCTAACCTAACCTAAGTACAACAATGTGATACAAAATAATTTAAACTTGTATTAATCAGGATTCATGGGACAGTAAGTCAAATAATACGCGCCATACAGGATACATACATGTAACTCTGTATTTTACGATGGTGCCAAACTGAACCTCTCTAAACTTACAGATAATAGAATGTTTATAATGGCCATATCTGATAACATAATGTTTATAATGGCCATATCTGATAACATAATGTTTATAATGGCCATATCTGATGTTAGAATGCTATTAATGGCCATATCTGGTAATATAACTCGTAGTATGTTGTAAAGAAATGTAGTTATATAGAAAGATGGCGGCCCCTGTTTTTCTTCATTGAGGTTATGTAAGGTTAAGAGTAATTGGCGCGTTCCGCCTTTGCATTTTTTAAGAAGAAACTGAATGAAGAACCTGTCTTTAGTTATAACTTCTATAGTACAAGGTCTTAACTATATGATGTGTCTTAACGAAGGTATTTAAGAAATCTGGGTTTTTTTTTTATTAACTTAAAACAAATTGAAGTTCCTTAAACCAGTCACAAACCAGTTAGTCTTGTACCAGAAATATTAATAAATTTCACGAGGTTTACACAGTAGTGGAGGTGACAGGAAGAGAAGGAGGGGGGTGAGGGAGAGGAAGGGGGAAGGTGAGGGGTGGGGGAGGGGGGAGAAGGGTGAGGAATGAGGGAGGAGGATAAGGAAGCGGGTGAAGGTGTGGAATGAGGGAGAAGGAGGAAGGGGAAGAAGGTAGGGGGAAGAAGAGATTAAGAAGAACCTCGAGAACCCTCCAGCTGTCAGGAACAGGTGACCTTCTTCCCCTTCACGTTTGAGGTCGACCCCACCTAAGGTCACCCTCGGTCGGCCCCTTGTGTCCTCCTCTTCTTCCTCCTTCTCCTCCTCTCCATCCCCTCCTCCTCTTCTTCCTCCTTCTCCTCCTCTCCATCCCCTCCTCCTCCTCCTCCTCCTCCTCATCCCTTTCTCCTCCTCTCCTCCCCTCCCTCTCCTCCCCCCCTCCTCCTCCTCCTCTCCTCCTCCATCCCTTTCTCCTC